AGTAGGACTAATATTTCTTCTTCATCCTCTTCAGGCTTTTCATCACCTTGTTTTTTCATTCTTATTATTTTTGAATTTTGTCTACTTAGACTGGGTGTTCTAAGACTCAGATTTCTCTGTATTTTAGGTTTTGTATTCATTCCAATATAAAGTAATCTTTATTCATCAATTAACATCTTACTTGATCTATTACTAACTGCAGGGTTCATAAAGAATTCCTCCCAAGATTTTTCAATTTCAATTTCATTAGGATTAACTTTTATAGGTGTAATTTTCTTCTTAGGACCTCCTCCTTGCTCATATTTCTAAGCATCGACTATTTGTTTCTTAAAAGATGGGTCTATAGTGTTTACTAACTTATAAACCACCTTCCATCTTAATTGTATGAGTCGTGTTCCTTTATGCATTTTCACTCCTTCTGTTAATAGCTTGATAGCTAAAAACTTTGACGCAAAGGAATCTTCTAAGCTCACATAATATCTAGGTTCACATATATAGCTTACCGTTCCTTGACTTAAGTTACATGTGATACCACTAATTATTTGATCATAAAACTCTTTATGTCTAATATCACAAATAAAACTCAAGCATTTAACATCCTAGCCAAAATATTGCAAATGAGTTATGTATACTTGTACTGCACCAACACAAATATAGCTATAATTTCCATTTTCTTTTGGAAAAATTGTCAAAAATAAAATGACCTTTCAGCCGTCTTCTAAAAATAAAACCACCTTTTAATTATCCTGTAATAAAACGACCTTTGATAGCCATCTGCCAAAAATAGAATGGTACCGGCTGATAACCTATTAAACAGGTTAATGAGACACGTGTAGCAATACGATAGGTTAGTTTTTTTGTTTTTTACAATGTATTTCTTATTTTTTAAAAATGATTTTAATAAAAAAAAAATATCACAACCCTGCCATGAAACCGGCCTTTCCACGGTCAGTGAACTCAACCCCAACCCTCGCCATCGCGAACCCAACTCAATCCCAACCCCCACCCCTGACGTCGTCGACAAAAATCCTGTACCACCCTTGCATATATTGGCGAACCGCACTCCAACCTCCATCCATTTTTGTGTGGAATTTAACGATTGGGGGTTTAGCTAGGTTGGTTAGTGGGTTGGTTTAGGGTAGTTTTGAGGCAGTTTCAAGGAGGTTGGGTGGTTAAGTGGTGGCTATAAGGACAGTTTTGGGGTGTGTGGAATGGGTAAGGGGGTTTTAAGGGCGTGGTTATGGTTTCGGGGGTGGTTGCGGGATGGTTTCAAGGGTGGCTGCGGGATGGTCTCGTGGGTGTGGGGTGGGTTTTAGGGTGGTTACAAGATGGGGTTTTGGAGTTGTGAATGGTTGAGTGGTGGCTGGGAGGAAGGGGAGGGGCTGCAAAGGTGGTTAGGGGGTTGGAAGGTTCAAAGGGGGATAGACTTTTGGTGACTTGTGGGCGGTAGCTTACTGTTAAGGGAAGGGGTAGGAGATTTTTTTTTATTTTTTTATTTTATTTTTATGAATTGTTTTTTTTTTTTTTTATTAAAAATGAATTCTTTTAAAAGAAAATTGAAAAAAATGATCCTAGCCAATCGCATTATGACACGTGTCCGGGTTTAACCTTTTAAACAGGTTTTCGGTTTTTTGTTCTATTTTGAGCAGATGCATGTCAAAGGTCGTTTTATTATGGAATAATCAAAAGGTCTTTTTATTTTTGGAAGATCGCCTAAAGGTCGTTTTATTATGGAATAATCAAAAGGTCGTTTTATCAGGACGAAGAATCGGACCTTCAGGATTATCATATGATATTAGGGGTCAGCATGGGAGATTTGTTGGTAGTCAAGCGAGTCAACCTATTACCAGCTCGACAGAGACAAGGTTAGTGCAATTGTCGATGCCAAGTGGTCCTAAGAATGAGACTATTATCCCTAGTATTGGTGGTCACATTGCATCATATATATGGGTCGAGAAGGAGCGAAATGTTTTGCGGTGTTTAAGTAGGTCAAAGTTGTGTACTGAATTAGTTAAGTGGCAAGGTTGTATTCCACAGGAGCACCCCGAGTTGATTGATGGCAGTTGGTTGTCTCACTTACCCGAGCTTATGTTTAAAAAACTTGATTGGCCGTTGATTTATGCTTTTGTTGAGAGATGACAGGAGATACTAACACATTTCATATGCCATATGGGGAGATCACAATCATGCTGCACGATGTGTACTATATTCTTGGGCTTCGTGTTGGTGGTGCTATTGTTACCACTACACCTACCACGAACGTCTTACGGAACGCGTGCTCGGTTACCATGGATGTGGCTGTGGATGAGTTGATTGAGATTTGTGGTACTAAGACGATTTGGCAGGGTAGTGGGATATTGACTGATAAGATTTTTGGTACGACGTTGGAGGCTCAGAAGCCCTTTAGTTTCCATTATACTGCGTACTTGTGGTTAGTGCTTGGAGGTTCACTGTTTTTAGACAAGAGTGATAACCGGACTCATCCTTCCTTCCTCCATGAGCTAGTTGCTGAAGATTCTCCTATTAATGAGTATTGTTGGGGTATAACTACTCTAGCTTACTTGTTTTGGGAATTGGGTACGACATCACGAAAAGATGTTGATTCGATCGCTGGTTGTCTCAAGCTTCTGCAACGTGGATTTACGAGTACTTTCCGTGCTTTCGGCTTCAGTAAGGTACCTTGACGAAAGAACTTAATATCCCTCGTGCGTCTGCTTGGGATGTTGGAGCGGGATGTCCTAACAAGGACGTGGAGCACCTGCTATCTTTTCATACTAGTCTGGATGCGCTGACTGACCTTGAGGTTAAGTGGCTCCCGTACGGAGTTGATCCTGCACAACACGTTCCAGCCACCTTAATTATTGGCTACATCTAGTACCGTAACATCATTGAGCCGTACATGCCTGATCGAGTGGTTCGACAACTTGGATTCGTGCAAGATATTCTAAGGAGAATTAACAGGCCAGAGAAGGCCAAAAGGCAGACCAACTTGAAGATGTACCGGATAGACTTTCCAACTGAGATGACATCTAATTTGTGGAGACGGTTTGTCCCTGGTTCATCTTTCAGTGTAGTTTTAGGTGCCCTCACCAGACTAGTTATGAAGCTCCTACAGTTGCAACTGGATATATGCAGTGGCTGTACAAATTTTCTCACCCTCGTGTATCTCCTAGTTCAGAAGTTACAAGCAATCTACTTGAGAGAACCAACACGGATTATGTAAGTTTTTGTGTTTTATTATACTATTATTTCGACTACTAGTAATTGCTATTTATATAATATATTGTTGTCTTATTTGCAGTGGATAGGTCGGTTCATGGAGATTCACCAAAGAGCACTGGACGAGTATCCTCACATGTCGCGTGAAGTAAGGGCAATGACTGAGCAACTTGTACTTGATTGGAAGTCGAAGATGGGGTTGTAGATTACTCTTTATTCGTAGTAGTGGTTGCATTTTTAATACTTGTCTGAACTATTTTATATTTCTTTTTATTCGGTGTGTAATGTAAGAACTGGACACTTTTATATTTTGTCTTGTTGCATGTAATGTAAGAACTTAAATACTTAATTAGTTTTATAACTTTATGAGCGCGGGGAAATTAGGTCGTTGACTAACCTCCTCACGACCAAAAAAAATTTATTATAATCCTAAACTAACCTCTAAACAAGTCTAGTGGTAAGTTCGGTGTCGAACCACAAGGAACGGTAATGTTAGATTGTTCTCGATTTAATGCTTAAGCTACGCCGAAGTTGGTTTATGGATAGTGGACACTACAACTACACTAACACACATATAAAGAACAAAATATTATAAAGTCTACTAGGGGTAAAGATCCACTTTGAACAATTAATAAGTTAATGAGAATCCATTTGAAAATCAATCATGCAAAGAAAGAATTAAAATGGGAATTAACTATACTCAAGAGCAATCTCTCAAATTCCTAGCCTAGATCCCTCATTGACTAGGTGCATAAAAGAAATTTACTCAATACGCAATCAAATATAACAATTCTAATTCACAATCCCTTTTTAAACTAGAACTAATATGCAATTAAGTTTGCTATCATGGGAGATCAATCCAATCTAAAACAAACAACATGTCATCATCAATTCAATCAATTTAATCACACAATTATCATCAAATTTATCTTAAATAACTCAATTAACCATTACAAAGCTTCACTCAACACCTAGTAGAAGGAATCATACTCAAACATGATTAACAAAGCAATTAAAGAAAGCATAAAGAGAAAAGAGAGTAAGAATGCTCATTGATATAAGATGGAGATCTTCAAATCATCAAATTCCCTATCCAAAATCCAAGAAAACCATTGTGTTTCTCACTTTCTCTCTCTTAAAATTGAGAGTTTCTCTCTCTAAAAACCTAAAAATAATCTAAAAACTATTGAAGAAATGAATTCCCCTCTCACTAGTAGAAAAAGTGCTATTTGTAACTGGCGAAATTGACTTTTTGTAACTGGCATTGTTGGTTGCGAATGCTACCGTTACAACTAGTGAAAATTATTCGTAACTGGCTAATGTTAGTTACAAATAATGTACTATTCGTAACTGGCTTAACCTAACGCCAGTTACAAAAAGTCTATTTTTCAAGTTAGAAAGCATACTATTCGTAACTGGCATTAAGTTACGCCGGTTACAATTAGAGTATTATTAGTAACTGAAAAATCTTAACGTCGATTACGAATATGTATTTTTTTTAAAAAAAATACTATAAGTAACTAGCATTAGATTATGCCAGTTACTAATAAATAAATAAATTTTTTTATAAATATTTGATTCGAATACAAGAATGGTAATATATCTTACAACTTCGACCCATCGTGAAATGGGTTATAACCTGTTACAATTCAACCAACAAAACACGTACTCCGAATACTTCCATATAACTTAAATTCACCTACAACATACAATACAAACACTCCAAATAGTTCCATACAACTTGAATAAAAAATAATCATTGATTTATAATTTAGAAATGTAATAACAATAACCAATAGGCTAAATAAAAGTTGATATATAGAAAGTGTTATATTGTTTTATTAAGCTAAATGCGATTAATCATAACATCGATTAATAAGATAACTAGTCTTTTAACAAAAAATTAAGCCTAAAAAACTTAGCCCATTGTTCTCGAATCTCATTCAATTCTACATCGTTGTAGGCTACAAGTCTTGCCAAATACTCCTGCAAATATATTAAAAAAAAATACGTGTCTATAATACTTTATAAAAATAAAACATCAACCAAAACTTGTATAAAGCATTTTATCTTGCAAAGAAGAGGTAAATTCATCACTAACCTCTTTTAAATTTCTCTTGCAATCGATATGGAAAGATACTATCTCATACATATATCTCATTACATAAGAAGCACATTCGGTACCACCACATTGTTAGTGCTACGCAACAACCAAAAATAGAATTATAGCTTATTTTTTAAGGGAATCAGGATGGAGGGAGCATCATATGAATGCTAAACGCATAACTTTCTGATGTTTGATAAGCCAAGATAAGACATTAAACTAGTAAGCATAACTCCTTTAAACAATGACAAAATAATATTGTTATGCTAGCATTAGCTTCACCCATAACTCTAGTGTTGGTATGCTAGCATTAGCTTCACCCATATTAGCCCATGAAATTTCACCACCTTTAATGATTATTTCTAGTTTTGCCCCAAAGAAAGCAGGATCCCACACAACAAGATCAGCCAACTTCCCAACCAACAGGGAATAATTATTCAATGTAAAAAAACTAGAATACTCCATGTATCCTTTCTTGCGTATTATGCATATGAGAGCCAAGTAAATTGTGAAAAATAAATAAATTTGGGAAATTAATATTCAAGAAGAGTTATAAATGATGCAAAATTTATGTCAAGCTGGTATAAGCAACATACCTCAACTGATCCAACATACTTATTAGAAAACCCATTAGCTATGGCAGGATTAATGATGTATTTTAATTTGCTATGTATCGTTTAATTTTGAAATTATCATTGTCAGTTTCACTTGGCGGCAGTAGCCCTCTCTGTAATTTCATCTTGTGTGCAGTTTGTCAAGTCCTACATATAACCTGTATAAATGAATATAATTGAGACTAGAAAGTCCAACTGCTTGATATACTAGTATATTAATCTAAAAGAACAACTTCTTGCCAACATTGACTTTCCTGGACTAGTACGGGGATAGCTTTTTAAAAGGGTCATGGAATTACGGATAAAGAAATATACTGCATGAATCATCATTAATATCTTTATTGATGAGAACAGAAACGAAGATGACACAGCTACTTAGTAATTTCACCTTTTTTATGTGAAATTTAGTGCTTCTTTTATACCCAAAACAGAACGATTCATATGGAAGTAATATATATTCATTTCACACAACAAAGTGCAACTCATATTCTTACCCCTAAGACAAGGGATCAACTCTCTATTGGAATCAACCGGACATCCAATTCCTTCCCCACCCGCTCCTCAATACAGCTAATAGAAAGGCTGGACATTCGTAATTTCGCCACCGTCTCAACAATAGAACGACATAAATGAAATATTATAAGCAATCAAACCCAAACAACCAATGATTGACTACCAGAATCGAAATATTAAAAGAATTTTGCCAAACTTAGGGTTCATAATTCGAATCAAGGCGCACACCTATAATATTCAAAATACATTACATTCACAAAATCACATATTCACAAATGAATGAACTCACAATTTCAATTAACAATTGAAAAAAATAGATTCGTTAAAAACTAAACCTGGAGACTAGAGTTTTGCTTTGTCGAAGAGAGAGAACTCAGAGAAGGCTAAAGGCAAGCAGGCGAACACCGATCGGCCGTCGGCGGGACGCGGCCAACGTCGATCTGAGAGCAGCGCCGGTCCTTGAATGAGAGTGAGGGGAGAGGAAGTCAGTAAGAAGTTAGGGTTCTTCAATGTTTTCGTTTTGTAAAATTGGGAATTGGGGGTATTCAGGATAAGTAAAAACAAAAAAAAAAAAAAAAAAAAAAAAAAAGTAAATAAAGGTGTGTAGGCAAAAGAAGCGCAGACTAGTAGGGAAGTACCAACTATTTTTTTATTTCATTTTCCTAAAAAAAACACAAAAAAAAAAAACAACTAATTTTTTGTTTAAAATTTAAAAAAAAATACAAGTGAAGCCTGAGTAGTGGGCACTAATATTAGTAACCGGCCTTAATAAAGCCCCTTACAATTAATAAGGTCTATGAAGTTTGACATATTATTTGTAACTGACATTTTTTATGCCCCTTACTAAAAGTTGGTCAGCCTATCATTGACCTACTATTTGTAACTGACCTTGGTTATGCTAGTTACTAATACTAGTTTATTTGTAACCCGCATTATCTATGTCAGTTACTAATACTCTTTTTGTAACTAACATAATTTATGTCAGTTACTAGTACGACGTTACAAATAGCACTTTTTCTACTATTGTCTCTAAAATGAGCAAAAAAAATCTATTTATACCCCTTACTAAATTGCCTAGTAAGCTCCGCAAAAATTCGAGCAGCGCGTAGAGGTGCGGGCGCTCCAATTTCATGCACGAGCGCTGCTAGTTGCAGCAAAATATGGCAGAATCGTTCCAGAATTTTTGGAGCGGGCGCTCCTCATAGGGTGCGCGCCCACTCCTATCGGACTGGGCAAACCGTTGACCTTCAAATGAGCATAACTCCCACGTTTTACATCGAAATTAGGCATATGACCTGTCGTTAGAAAGCTCTCGAGATAAGCTTTCATCTCTAATTAGAATCGCCCCAAAATGTTTTGTAGAAAAAAAGATATAGGCGTTTGAAGTATGATCTTTGCAAATAATCAAGTGCACATTTCTTCATTACTTGTTCTTTTATGTTTTATATTTCTTCAATCTTGAACAAGAACTTATCCAAGTGTTCCTAAAAATAAGAGTAAACCAATAAAGTTTAATCTAATGTCATAAGCCGCCAAAATATGCAAGAAAAGCCAAAATTGAGCAATAACGGCATTTCATACACAAACATGACAAATGTAGTAAAACGTTATTAAAACCAAGTAAAAAGATAGAAAAACTATGAAAAACTAACTAGAAAACTCCTAAAAATAGCGACATAAATGACACTTATCACTTTACCTTACATAGCTACAACTGTTCAAACTTAGTGAAAGTACATTAATAATTACATAAATAAGTTTACTACCTAATTAATGAATCCCACATGTTCTTTCTAACTTTATATTGTTGATCTCATTCATCAACACTAGCCTCGTGGTTCTCAGTCCACCGACCTAGGATTGGCGTAAGAGGTTAATCATTTGCAAGTTCAAGACGGATGAAATGTGACCCACCAACTGTAGCAATCATGAACTCTCTACTCGGTGCCCTGACCCTGTTTTGTGCCCTCAACGGTAGCACTGTGATGCATGGGTAATAAAAAGTTGGTACTAGGCCTACACCGAGACAAATCACCCTTGCGGTTAACCAAGTAGCAATAGGAAGTAAATCTTAGATTGTTACCATCCAATATCGCTCCTAAACCGCCCCACCATCCCATCGAATACGCTCTATATTATATTCATCTAAGTCTCCCAATCCCGTAAATCCATTCGTAAAACTTTGGATGACCGACGATCTTGTTTGCTATTGTTTCCCGAGCGTTATACCATAACGCTTGATCACTAAAGAAGAAGTCAGCCATACAACAAAAGCCACAGTTCCCATCACCAATGACATCCTTCCACGCTGTGATGTACGACAACATCGGTCCCGGAAGCAAGTGAAAATACCTGCACTAACTAATGTCACACAGATCTTCTGCACAAAAGTAATTGTCAATATTAGTAAAGTTACAAGATAAAATAAATTTAATTTAAAAAATTAATTGTCATTTATTAGTACCTGTTTCTTGGTTACCACCACGTTCATTGTTTCGACGGTTTACATGCTCAAAATAACTTTGATCACGCATGGTATCATTAGTGTTCCTCCGTCGACCTCGAACGTTGAGGTTTACAAGTGGTTCCTCAAGGTTTGTATGATCTGGATGCAGCTCCTCCTCAATGATGCGAGATACATTTCGAAGTGCGGCAAGATCACTATCCATGACCTCATCAACCAGGGAATGAAATGTGCAGCTTCCTCGGTCGAATCGTTAACCAATTCAGGATTATTAACACCATCACCAATAACCAAGGTCTTCCAATAGGAATGAATTTTCCTGGTATACAAGCATGTCTATGCAATTAGAAAATTATGTATCTAGCAAGCACGTGGTATACCATGGGTCACACGCATTACACATCCACAACGTTCATAGACCTGGTAACTCAAATCCCGCATCCTTGTCATCTCATCATCAGGTACTTTCAAATAATGTTGAGATACTTTACCATTTATACGTGAAAGGGGCAATTGTCTGTACTTCTGACCAATTTTAGATATTGATGCCTCCAAACCATTACAAATTGCAATAATTTGATTGCTAATATGACAATGGACTCGGGCCCATACAGTATCCATAGAACCTGCCATTGATTCATATTATTAAAAACATTATAATTTTTATTAAATTTACAATAACGAAGTAAAGACAACAACTAATATAGTAAAAAAAAATGAACCTGTGGATGATTCAAACCATGTCTTCATTGCTGAATGTTCGCTCTCAACTCTATAGTTGCTCGTGTTACCAAAGTGAAGAACTTGGTTCGTCCAATATGTCACAATTTTGTTTTATGACAAAGTCATGTTCTCTCAACATAAAGAATCACTGCCGAAAAACTTGCCCACCTAGCTTTCATTGTAGCTAGAGCATCATCATACTCTGCCTCGGTTGTAGCATCCATGATAGGTTTCCATTTGTCATTTTTAAAACTCTTACCAATCTTCTTGTTTTTTAACATATCAGTCACCCTAGCCTCCACATCTTTGTTAATATGTCATCGACAGAGTAAATGCAACGTCCTTGGAAACACTTCTCTTAAAGCCGCACAGAGGCCAAGTTCACGGTCTGACAAAAATACTGTTTGCTCTTTATCAAACCCAATCAACTCCCTTAATTTCTGCAACACCCACTGATAGCTTGTCGTGCACTCATTGCACATGAAAGCATAACCAACTAGGAAATTCTGGTTTGTCGGTGTGACACCTACTATCACAAAGAACGACATCCCATATCGGTTGGTCTTGTAAGTCGAATCCATACCTATTACATGTGGGTATGTGCGGAGCATGTTGTCCGTGATTGGGTGCACCATAAATGTATGTTGCAGGACGCCGAGATCATTGGTCATGACCTAGTAAATATACTACCCTCTCAACTCCTCTTTCTTTAGACATCTCCGTCCTCAAGTCATTCCGCCAATTGTAAATGTGCCTAATGTTTGGATGATCATTAGGAAATTGCTCTGCAATAGTTGTCATGATGTTATGCGGCATAACCTTGGACTTTGTCATGTCACGCACAACCTGTTTTCCACCGGGGCTCAATCCACTAACTTTACAATGACTCTCTTAATACACAATCATTGGATGGTTATGGGTCCCGATTTCATCATTTTTTGCATGGATCTTCCAACAGTCAGTGGTGAATTCATAATATATCTTGATGTAGAAAGCACAAGCATTAGCTTTGGTTTTTGTGTCCTTCCGTATTGCGTTCTCCAAATCTCTCGGCTTGCTCCTCCGTGCTCGATCATATTTTAAATATCGATATAGCCAACCATCTTTGGTTTTGTTATAAGACAATTTCACTAAAATAAATCCCAGATTTCTGGAAACAACATCGCCCATTTGACTGCATCATTAAACGTTGGAAATAACGTGTCCATGACGAAATTCACGTAATAATTCACACCATCACCGTCGTCTTCAGATTCCAAATCCTAAAAAAATAAAATAAACAAAACAATGGTCTAAGACATTACGTTCTTTTTTATATTATTAATAAAAATATTTATAAATCAATATTAGAACTAATAATATCACTATTCACAAAATAATACGAAATAATAATAATAACATTAATACTAATAATAACATAAATACTAATTACAAAAACAATAATAACATTAATACTAATTATTCAAATTATCAAAATATTAATAATAACCACATTAAAAATTTTAATTCTAATAAAAAGACTAAGTTAATAAATTTAATTAATTAAAAAACATTAATAATAATAATAACATTTATAATAACAACAATAAAAACATTAATACTAATTACAAAACAATAAAGAAGATTCGTTAGGGGATAAAAACTCCCTCGAAAGAAAGGGCGAACCACCTTGAAAGAGAGGATAACCTACCGCTATATATCGTGGTTTTTCTCTGGCTGTAATGGCCAAAGAATTGATTGAGAAGTGTTCTAATCTAAATTTAGATGAAGAAGAGAACAAAATTGTTGATCTGGGCGCAATGGATTCGTCTAAACAAAACGCTAGGATCTCGTTAATGCTCGTGGGGAAATTTTTAACTGACAGAGGAGTAAACATTGAAGCTTTTAAGAGGACAATTACCCAATCATGGGGGATGAAAGGTAAAGTTGTAATTCGTGGAATTGGTGCAAATTTATTTGTTTTTCAATTCTTTCATTGGTGTGATATGGAGAAAGTCCTTGGGGGCCGTCCATGGTGTTTTGAACAAAACCTCCTAATTCTCAATACCATTATTGGAGATGAACAACCGCAGGAGGTTAAGTTAACTCATTCTCCGTTTTGGGTTAGGCTTGAAAATTTGTCCTTCAATTGTCGTTCGGATGCCCATGTGAAGGCAATTGCTGCAAGTACAGGAGATTTGATTGAAATTGAGGCTGATCCTCTTGGTATTGGCAAAAACCGCAGAATAAAAGTGATGCTCGATGTGAATAATCCTGTACGAAGGTTTCAAAGTGTTAAGAACAGGGAAGGGGTTGTTGTTAAGATTTTGTTGAAGGATGAAAGGCTGTCGTTTTTCTGTTTCATGTGTGGGATTATGGGACATAGTGAGAAATATTGTATCAATGTTTCTAAGGGTATGCATGATAAGGGGTTTTGATAGGGTACGTAGATAAAGGCATCTCCGAGAAGAGGGAAGAAATAAGAGTCTGATGAGATTGAGGGCCTGTATGCCGCAAGGAAGCTTCAATTTATTACGAATCAACAATCTAATGAAGGCGTTGCAACTGGTAGTGTAGGGGTGCAGGACAAAAAGAGTGGGGGAACGCCATTATTGTGTAATAAGGAAGGTGTTTTATCCT